TGGCTAGCGCGGCCGACTCTCCCTCAGTCAGCTGCCCGCAGGGAACGTATTACCACGGCCAGACGGAGCAGTGTGTGCCATGCCCAGCGGGCACCTTCCAGGAGAGAGAAGGGCAGCTCTCCTGCGACCTTTGCCCTGGGAGTGATGCCCACGGGCCTCTTGGAGCCACCAACATCACCACATGTGCAGGTGCCAGGGGAACAAATAATACAGAGTGGGCTAGGGTGGGCACTGGGACGCCCATAGGCATGGGATTTCCCAAAGGGCAGGCCCAGGCTCCAGGCCACTCCTAGTTGACATCCTGTTTGTGTACTTCCGTCCCCTGAGAATGGGTGACCCCATGGAGGTGACACGGGACCATCCCCATCAGAGTTGGGCCCTTGGTTCGTTGCAGGTCAGTGCCCGCCTGGTCAACACTCTGTAGATGGGTTTAAGCCCTGCCAGCCATGCCCACATGGCACCTACCAACCCGAAGCGGGACGGACCCTGTGCTTCCCGTGTGGTGGGGGCCTCACAACTAAGCAGGAGGGGGCCATCTCCTTCCAAGACTGTGACACCAAAGGTGAGTGGATACCCCACAGGGGACTCCCTGACCCCAGCTGCTCTAAAATAAATCCTCCCCGGGTCCCCAGAGGAAGCTGCATATGTTCCTACCATCGCCCCCAAAGTGAGAAAGGCCCGGCTGCCTAACCAACCATACCATCCTGCTCCCGGGACCCTCCGGGCCCAAACCTGGGGGTCACAAATTAAGAGTCCCACTTTGCCCCCTGCTTTGGAGAACTGGCAGCACCTTCCCCTCCACACCCCAAGGAGCTTTCTGTATTGGTTCAGCACTGTGCTCGGGGCTTAAAGGAAAAGGGTTGACACCACAGACAACCACTCTGTGAGGTCTGTTTTTCCTGGGCTCAAGCATGACTGGGAGAGGCTGGGACCTGGGAAGAACTTTGGAGTCTTGGATCCCTTTATTCAACATGACAAACGAGTCCCCAGATCGCCCACCTGCCAGCCACCTTGACTCCTGCCTCTCCCCCCTTGCCTGCAGTCCAGTGCTCCCCGGGGCACTACTACAACACCAGCATCCACCGCTGTATCCGCTGTGCCATGGGCTCCTATCAGCCTGACTTCCGTCAGAACTTCTGCACCCGCTGTCCAGGAAACACCAGCACTGACTTTGATGGCTCCACCAGCGTGGCCCAGTGCAAGAGTATGTGGCAGGCCAAGCTGTGGAAAGGGGTATAGGCCCAGGACCGATGGGCATGGAAAGAAAGAGAGGTGGGGGAGGGGAGTGGAAAACCCACAGGAAGAAGGGAGGGTGGGTGGACAGGCAGGAAAGTCCTACCCTCCACCTCTCCCCGCCCCACTCCGGGCCAGTTGCTAGGCTGAGCCCAGTAGCACCCTTTCCGAGGAGACCAGTAATGGGGAGGCATAGCGGGGTGAAGTGAGAGGAACTCTAAAAGGACAGGAAAGAAGCTGGACCCAGAACTTGAAGGGCAGATGCTGCACCAGGATAGTGGCTGCCCGGCCTCTGGTCCCTGACTTCAGAACTCTTCCACACCCCCAGCCCGGTTCCCCACTGAATCTCCTTCTTTCTCTTGCTCTGTCCCTGGGGCTCGGCTGCAGATCGTCAGTGTGGTGGGGAACTAGGTGAGTTCACTGGCTATATCGAGTCCCCCAACTACCCGGGCAACTACCCCGCCGGCGTGGAATGCATCTGGAACATCAACCCCCCACCCAAGCGCAAGATCCTTATCGTGGTGCCCGAGATCTTCCTGCCGTCTGAGGACGAGTGTGGGGACGTGCTCGTCATGAGAAAGAACTGTGGGTGGATGCAGAGCTGGGCCCGGGAAGGGGAGTCCGAATCTGGCCGGAAGGGAGAGAGTCTGGTGCGGGAAGAGTGGGAGCAGCGAGCTGAGGAAGTTTAGGAGGAGGGAAGCTAACAGGAAACAGCAGTGGAGGGTGCGGCAGAGTCAGGAAAGTCAGCCCTGGGGCTCGAGTCCAGCGCTGTTACACGCGTCACTTTCTAATCCTCATAACACTTTACCAATTCATTCATTACATGTCAGATTTCACACACATGGTGAGGGCCCAGCCATCACAGGCAAGGTGCAGAAAGAGCCTGGGGCAGCGGGCGGGCTTGGGGTACGCACCTGTCCGTGGAGGAGGAGTCTGCCCGAGCGGCCCCCCACTCCACGGCCCTCGCCCGGCAGGGCGTGGGGGCCTGCCCTGCTGCCCTCTTAACCTGCCACTTGCTTCGGCAGCCTCCCCATCTTCCATTACCACTTACGAGACCTGTCAGACCTACGAGCGCCCAATCGCTTTCACGGCGCGGTCCCGGAAGCTCTGGATCAACTTCAAGACAAGCGAGGCCAACAGCGCCCGAGGCTTCCAGATTCCCTATGTTACCTACGATGGTGAGTAAAAGGCAGGAAATCTGGGGAGGTGGGTAAGGGAGGGGGGTGCCGGGGTCTTGGGAGGGATCTAGGAAGCAGGCAGCGCTCCGATCTCGGCACCACCTCCCACTCTGACCTCCCCTGCAGAGGACTATGAGCAGCTGGTGGAGGACATCGTGCGGGATGGCCGGCTCTATGCCTCCGAAAACCACCAGGAGATCTTAAAGGCAAGTGCATGCTAACGACAGAGACAGCTAACATGGGTGTGCATGTGACCTGCGGGCTGCCTGCTAAGTGCCAGTGTGGGTGTCCTTACTGGATACTTGCAGGTCTACGCGGTGGCCGCTGTCGTCATCCGAGATGAGAAAACTGAGGCAGAGTTAAAGGACTCGCCCATGGTACAGCTAGGATTTGAGTCCAGCTGTCTGACTACAGAGTCACCCGTACCACAGAGGTCAGGAAAGGGAAAGTGAGGTTTATCTCTTCCTCCTAGAGATACCGGGGAGTCCCTTCCACCCCTTCCCCTCTCCCCAGCCCACAGAGATGCAGCAGTCTGTCTCAGCACAGCTGTCTCAGCCCCGGTTGGTGGGCAGACATGTTTTTAACTTTGTCGTACAGAGCTAGGGTCATGCACATGCTAGACAGACACTCTACCACTGAGCCACATCACCAGCCTCTAAATGTCTTTTAAAGGAAGAGAGCCAGGAATGGTGGTGCACACCTACGATCCCCAGCCTGGGCTGCATAGCAAGATCCTGTATCAAAAGAAAGAAAAATTAAAAGAAACAAAATATTTCCAATGTTGAAGAATAAACTAGACACTCTGGGTTGTGGAT